TTCATATGATATAATACAACACAATTAAAGCCTATTTAAAAAAATCTCGAAATATAAATAAAAAAAATTTGTTATACGTAGAAAAATTTGAAACTAATCAGAATTAGGAAAGTAAAATTTCTGAATTTTATATTGTCGATCACACTATGTTATAAATATACGTTTTATTTATTGGTTCACTCACATTGATTCCAAGTATCTCAGCAACTATTAATACTTTATCTGCAATCAATTTTTCTTGAATCTGTACTTGTTGATGATAAGTTTCTAATATATCTTCTGGTACTGTTTCTTTTTCCACCCACATAGCGTCCTTACTTTAGTTACTAACCAAGACTTCACCATGTCGATAGTTGTGAATAGACGTATTAGTGTCTATTTAGAAATCTTGAACATCCAAAGGAAGTTCTACAGATAAGTTAGATTTCTTATACGAACATTTTCGTGTATAGTAATTCAAAGTTTTTTTTAAAGCAAAATACTTATTACAATAGGGACATATATATTTGTTAATCGATTTATTGATAGTTGGGCAGTACCAATCAAAAGGAAAATGCCGTAAATTCATATTTGGAGGAATTAACTTTTCTTTCATTAACACAGATAAGAGAAAACCAGAATAATGAATTGTATTATCAGATGCATTTATGTTTGCTGCACAAATACCAGAAGGCTTTTATTGAATTTTGAGTGGTGGGGGGAAAAAGCAATTAGGAAGAATTTGCCTTATTCCACTTCGAAATGGTTTGCAACAGCTTTGATCATTACAATTTGTGACTTAAGTCATGTAATGACAAGTCATTATATGTTTCTCCATCCAAAGTACTGACTTCTCATTTGGATAGTGATATTCTTCAGAAGGATCTATATACTTAACAAGAACGGGTAACTATCTATAATTGTATTTTCCCATACTGATGTTAAAACATCTTCAGCTGCTTTAAAATTACATTTTTCTAATTCCTCATTATTTGTTCTCAATTGTGTATCCAAATATGTTCCAAATATATCATGTGGGAGTATAACGCCAGCTAAGTCATGACTTAGAGGTGCTATTTGTCTTTCAACTGGATTAGATGCACTTTGATGAGGTGCAAAGTATGCTACAATGATGGTATCGAGGTCATATTTATCAAAATGTTCGATCATCATCTGAATTGTCTTTCTATACCAAGGATTCTCATCAGGACCACCATCACTTAGCAGCACCACTACAGGTTTAGGTTGTTCATTTGTTGTTGTAATGTAGTTGCGCAATTGCTTCTCATTCATCAAGTCGTCAAAATCTTTTTTATATAAGTACGCGGTACTACTATTATGCTTACTACTGCGGATTCTTATAAAAGTTAGGCCCAAATATGTTACCGCATCAGCATGCCCATACTTACCTTCTTGCACATCTAATACTGCATAAACTGAAGGAATCAGCTTATGCCTTTTAGCAATGACCTAGTCATGATCTGAAAGCTCTACTCGATATTCCAGCCTCATAAGAATTAGTGCTATATTAATTATTATTAGTAAAACTTTAATTTATTATACTGTATTTTAAATAAGAATTCTATTTTGACTCGGTTAAAATCACTCAAAAAGCTATCTATAATCACTAGCATTATTAATATATCGAGTGACTTTTAAACTGAGTTAAATTTGTAATTTTTATTTTAGATTATCTTGTTTGTTGGCCGCAGCTAAGCCAAGAGGTACTCGTGCTTTGTCATCTTGCAATATTACCAAAATGCTTTTTGGACCTAATAAAGATACTATTTCTTTTATATTTCTTATTGAAGCAGCACAAAAACGGGTATCCTCATGACTTCTTCTTGCCATACTTTGAGACCTTAGAAGCTTTACTAGCATAGTTTTGACATGTTGCTTTCCCTCTTCAGTATTGTGTCATTTTGGAATGAGCCTAAGATATATTGTAGAGCGTGACAACTTATAGTTCATATGTGTCAGTGCCTCTTGAAGCTGATCTAAGGTCTTGACAGAGCGTACTATTTCTAAACATCGCCTTTCATCGGCCTGTCCATCTGGAGAAACGATTTGAACAATAGCTTCTAGTAGACCTGGTTATGCTTCTTCTATGTTTGGATGACCAACTGTTGGCCTAACGAGCTGCATATCAACACCTGCTTCCTTAAGTTGCTCTGATATTAGCTGAAGCTTCTGTTTGTTTTTATATCTATATTGTTTTTGAAACTGTTGATGGTATTCTAATTTAGTTAGAGCTTTTAATGATGATTCAAGTTCATTTTGAATCTTTTTTTTTTTTCTATCAATATCCATAATCATTCCTCTATCTTCTAATACTTTAAGTGACTACAGCTCCTGATTTAATTGAGCGATTTTATTTTTGAGCTTGGACTGAGCTGGTGCCTCACGAGTTTTAACCATTTTATTCGTAACCGTAATGTTAATTGATAGATAATTAAACCCTAAATTTTAAGGTGAGTTTTACAAATAACTTCGAGATAATTATTTATGAGGTATTTGAAATTTATTGAGACAATTTCTAAGCTAAAAAGCAAATTATCTATTTTTATACATTTTTTAGAAAATAGTATTCTACAACGTGGTCTAATATTTGATATCTTCTACATTAAAAAATACACACATTTTATTCTTAATGCATATACTGAAATCTAACCTAGGATGTATATCTGTTTAAACAAGAAGCATATTATTATTTATTACGTTATTATTTTAACAATACTAATTAGTTACCTTTCCTTGATTAGTTTCTAAAACTCTGCATTTTTGAATATAGCAGTATGCTATTTCAGTTAGTATTGGCATATGACCAGGTCATATGCTAATACTGATTTCAGTGGTTCTTTTTGTTGATATAAATGTATAAATACAGAAATATTACAATATGAAGTACTTAGATTCTATACTTTCAAATATGGTAATATGCTATTTTAGCTTTCTTGTTGATACAAATTTGGAATATGAATATAGTAATACTAGAAGTCTATTTTGCATTACGGTACAGAAATTGTTATTTTACTTTTTAATCTCATGTTTAACTATTTAAAGAACTATTAATGCATATCGATTTTTTAAAAAGATTTTAGATTAAAAAATTATTGAGACATATTTTTCAAATTTATATTTTAATCAACTTTTTCTATAATCGTGTACTGAGATATAAATACAGGTATTGCAATAAAATTATTGAAAAGAATTCTGTATTATAATAGGAGGTACTATAAAATCTCGAAATAGCGGACGTCTGCACGCTATTTTGAGTATGCCCATGGAAGCTATTTCGAATACATAGATTGATTTTCTGAATAGAATGTTAAATAGCCCACAAAGAACTTGTTCGGACTGGGTCTAGGGCTGAACTTTTTAGGGCAGTCTGAAACTGGCCCAGATAAAATTTAATAAAAATGAATAATAGATACTTTTGACAGTTCACTTTCAAAATTATCTATAATGTATATTAAACTGTTAAATTAAACCCGAACTTTTTAGAACCGAAGCTGGAGACCGAACGGACTCTTTAACATCCCTATTTTTGAACCTAGCTTTTTTCAAACTACATAATAATGGGGTGCGCGTTATTTTAGAATACGCATAGGCGTTATTTTGAATCTACATATGCTATTTTTAGGGGGCGCGATTTTCAAAATAACGCCTATGCACGCTATTTTGAGATTTTACGGTATATCATACCTAATCAACATTTATAATTATAGGCCACAAAAAACAATTAGAAAATTTAATAATCATTCGTAAAGATTTTATCTATCACCATTCTTTTTAAAATGATTATTAAAAATATTATGATGATTGTATTCTATATATATTTTTTATAACATTAACTAGATTTAAACATCTTTATTAAAATGTATAATCTCCATA